CTATATGTAATAAGTACATACTATAGTGCATATAAAACTTATACTATATATAAGTATACAAAATAATGAGCTTATATACTATTAATGTATGTAATTAAGCAAATATATATACGATTACAAATGTAATGTGTGTGCATGTGAGTTATAAATATATCCTCCAATCGTTCATTCTTTCAGTCATCATTTTCATGTTTTTAGTATTTTCCTTTAGTTTCTTGGAAAATATCTATGGTTTCCATTTAAATTGTTAGTCTACTGATTGTATACTGCCTTCACTGCTGTTAAAAATTCAGAGATCCTATTCATGTCTTTGTGATCTTTTCTGATATTATTTTAGTCTGCCTACCTACCTATTTTATTCTCACAGATATTCTGTATTAGTTAAGATATGTTATACTGTGGTAATAAAAACATTTTAAATCTCACAGAATTCGGATAACAAATTGAAAACCTTCTGCATAGCAAAAGAAATAATCAACACAGTAAACAGACAACCTACAGAATGGGAGAAAATATTCCCTAACTAAATCTGATAAAGGTCTAATATCCGGAATCTACAAAGAATTCCAACAAATCAGCAAGAGAAAAAAAAAAAAAACATTAAGAAGTGGGCAAAAGACATGAACAGAAGTTTTTCAAAAGAAGATAGACAAATGGTCAAATGCATTAAAAAATGCTCAATATCACTAATCATTCAGGGAAATGCAAATCAAAACCACAATGAGATATCACCTTACCCCATCAGAATCACCATTACTAAAATGTCAAAAAACAACAGATATTGGCGTGGATGCAGAGAGAAAGGAACACTTATACACTGTTGGTGGGACTGTAAATTAGTACAGTCTCTATGGAAAACAGTATGGAGATTCCTCAAAGAAATAAATTTACCATTCCATTCAGCAATCCCAATACTGGGTAACTACTCAAAGGAAAAGAAATAATTCTATCAAAAAAGACACCTGCATTCCAATGTTTATTCCAGCACTATTCACAATTGCAAAGATGTGGAATCAACCTAAGTGCCCATCAATTCATGAGTGGATAAAGAAAATGTGGTGTGTATACACACACACACACACACACACACACACACACACACACACACACACACACATACCATGGAGTACTACTCAGCCATAAAAAGGTATGAAATGTCTTTTGCAGCGACTTGGATGGAACTGGAGACCATTATCCTAAGCGAAGTATCTCAGGAATGGATAAACAAACACCATATACTCTCTAATAATTGGGAGCTAATTGATGGGCACACAGGGGCACAGAGAGATGTAAAGGTCATGGGAAATCAAGAAGTGGGGGAGGAGGGGATGGGTAAAAGCCTATCAGGTACAATGAACATTATTCAGGTCATGACCACACTAACAGCCCTGACTTGAGCATTATATAAGCTATCCATGTAACAAAAACATTTGTACACCCTTCACATTTCAAAATTAAAAAAAAAAAGGCAATAAAGCGTACTTCTCACTGATTCAACTATCCAACACAGGTGAGAAGGGAGGTGTGTCTCCCTTTGGTAACTTCAAGATCCATGTTTCCACAATTTCCAGGTCAGAAAAAAGGGGAAAACACTCACTCTTACAGCTTTGAATGAGGGTGGAATACATCGTATTCATATACATTTAATGACCCAAATAAGACCCAAGCAGGCCTTCAATTTCGATAAAGACAGGAAAGTGCAATCCTGTGGTTCTCAAAGGTGGAGGGCCTAACATATTTGGTGAATGATATTAATACTATACTTCCATGACACAAACTGTTCTTGTGAATCACCTTGTAACAGGAATTTAGAATTGTTCTAAATGGCTCTTACGTTTTTAATGTACATCTGCTCACTGAGGGCCCTTTATTTTGACATCTCTCATTTGGCATTCTTATTTTAACTGCCAAATTGAAATAGTATATTTTAAAACTTTCTATCACCTCATTTTACAGAGAAATATCTATGTCTATTTCTTAGAATTGAAATGAGTCTTATTAGAAATATCTCAAATTTCAAGCCTCTTGAATGTCCCAAGAAGATAAAGATTTGTCCCCTTGATGGCTGGCCTCACTTCTTCCAATCCAATTCCATTCAGACGGAATGATTTTTTTTTTCTTTTTTTCATATTTGTATTGAGTTTTTTCCCCATTATAGATTCTTTAGGTCTTTTCATTGGGAATTTATCAAAAAAAGGGAAGTTAAATCAGTATGTTCAATCCATATCTCAAACTATAAACTTTTCCTACATTGCTGACTTTTGATATTAGGTAAACCATTAACCCAACTAACCAAGTCACAATCAGGAACTCTTTCCCTCATATCCAACTGGTCACCAAACCTTGCCAATTTTGTTTCCTAAATATCTCTCAAAAGAACAGAGCTCTTGAGAAAAGAATTAATGTCAAACTCAATTTAGAACTATTTGGCATCCCCAAGGGACACTTTACATGTAAGATTAAATAAGCAAAACCTTGATAGCTAACCATTTTGATAAAACTGAATTCAAAGGGAAACCAATAACCTTTCTTATTCTTTTTGACAAGCAAAACCCTGAATGTTCTCAACTAATAAGGAAAGAGATTGGTGTTTAGCCTGTACAGTAGCACTTCAGAAATACTTGACTTTGACAGAGTTGAGAAACAGAAAAGCTAAGTAAAACCATTCATGGAGACTGCCATCAAATTGAGTAGTATATATAGTCAGGTTATTGTGGTTATATTTGCTGTCAATAGAGGAGGGTGCTGACTGACTCCAACTTAATGAGGAATGCAGACTGTGGAAAGCTAGAGAAAAGGTTCTGAAAATTTATATTCGTTGGGTGTTGGGCAGGTGGCGGAAGTACGGGGAGGAGGAGACAGGTGAATGCCCACATAATGGGTGTGGTGTGCACTGTCTGAGGGATGGACATGTTTGTAGCTCTGACTCAGGAGCTGCAAAGGCAATATATGTAACCTAAACGTTTGTACCTCTGTAAAATTTTGAAATAAAAATTAAAAATAAATAAAAATGAAAGAAAAGAAAAATTTATAACTCAATGATCCCAACAAAAGAAAAATAAAAGATCTCCACATCACCAGTGTATAACAAAAGTGTTCCACTGGTTCTAACATTATGGTAACTAAGAAAAAGTTAAAAGTGATATATTTAACAAGGACAATTTTTGAAATACACATTGGGTTTCCATTGGCAGACCTTGAATTCCAGATACTGATTTAATATGTAGCAAAACGCCTTACTGATGAAAGTATCTATTATTATCGAGATGAATTAGACTACAGAAATTTGTGCTTTCCCATCCTTGAAAATGGTTTATTGTGACTAAAAGCATAGTGTTTTATTCATGAAGAACAAAAAAGTCCTCTTCCTCGTAATAGTGCCTAGCCTTATACAAATTAAGATGTCTTTTGAAAATTACCCTTGTACTGAAGGCTCTTGAGGATTGGCTATAGTGTATTTTATAAATACACCAGTAGTCATTTGGGTTCTGTGTTGTCTTTGTAGGTGGTCAGCTTTCTTGAGTTCATCATAAAACAAGTGCCTTAAAAAAGCTAAAGTTAATGTGGAATGAGGGCATCCAACTAAAACCTCACAGTGTACTTTTTCCTCTCAACCAGGCTTTAGATTTCTAGAACTTATAAAAAGGCAAATAGGAGGCCATTAAGATATAGTTATAATAACAATCTCAAATTATACACTCAAACAAATCTACAAAATTTGCTTTAAATATTGGTTCCTGGGAGACAGGGGTAGCTGGCGATACATGGTTATAAAAGGACAACACAAGGGATACCTGTGGGGATACTTGTGGTGTTGGAACTTACACTGCATTTTGACTATGGTGATGGATAAATAAACCTGCATATGACAAAATTACATAGATTATACATATACACACACTGGGGTACAAGTAAACCTGGGGAAACCCAATAAGGCCAGTGGATTATATCAGTGTCAATATCCTGGTTGTGATAATGTACTGCGGTTTTACAAAATATTACCATTGGGGAAACTGGATAAATGGTAAAAGGGAATCTCTCTATATTATTTTTTACAACTACATGTGAATTTACAATGATTTCAAAAAAAAGTTTTAAGAAATTAGTTTCTCTACTTTTCTCAAAACTGATTTTAAAATCATTCAAATGTGAACTAACTTCTACTATTTATCTTTCTTTTTAAGAGTAACCTACATAATTACAAATCTCTCCCTAGAAGCCAGGCACAGAGACCGCAGTGTGGATGCCACTTAATGAGGCATTTAGGTAGGGATTTAATCGAGTGAAATTCGGGTAAGTGTATAAGAGAAGAGGTATATATATTGTTAACAGGACAAATAATGCTTTTGAAAAAATCTTTTAAGTCATTTGATAAAAAAGTTTCTTAAAAACATCCTCCTCCTTTAACATAAAGCACCACTTACGGATGCACTGACTCCCTTTATATTCACAACAAAAACTGACGATCTGCCTTATTTTTGCTATCATTGTAATTAGCTTTTGTAATAACCCTTCTGAAAATAGAATCTCTAAAGGTCTAAAAAACGTTTTGTTTCAAGAGAAAGCAATAGTGTTTATTATAGAGACATTCTGAGAATTTCATAGGCCTTAAGTATATTTGTATTTGATAATCCTCTTCACCATCGAACATTAAAATGTATCCACATGCCACATTCAATATAATTAACACAACAACACAAATATTAAGACTAAGTGACATAATGTTTTATTTTGGAGACATTAGACACTTATTAAATTCGATCTGTAGCTTTCGTTTGTATTTTATGACCAGTCGTTTCTGGAGAGATGAGAAAGGAGGTCATATGCTCTATATCTTGCACACGTAGACTATAATGAATAGTTCTAATTTTTACATGGGTAAGCAGCATGTTTTACATTAAGAATGTGAAATATGGTGGTATAATAGGGAAATTCATATAATTCATTGCTTTCTCAAAGCCAGGGCATTTGTCTTTTAAGGTATGGTAGTAAAACCTAACCTGAGCATGTGTGCAGCATTGAAGACAACGTCAAACTCCAAGCTGTCCAGTTCAGCTGCTTTTTTTGCCATCTCAGCTGCTTCTATGAGGCGACCTTCTTCCAGAAGAAATTGACCTGCAAGGTATGAAAGCCAGTGAGCTTCAACTCAGAAAATATTAGTCCTATGAAACAATAAAGCTGCTATTAGAGAAAAGTAAGTACAGTGGTAAAGGTGATTTGGAGCTAAAATTTAATAGCATGCTCGTTATTTAGACATTTTTATATGCCTTTCTCTTAATAGCAGGATGTTGCAAGGCTTCTATCTGGAACCTTAAATTTTTTTTTTTCTTAAATTCTCTGTAGACTAAACAAGAAATGAGATGAAAAAATTTAAAGCTATATTACAAATATGATTGATTTTAATTGGTAGTGCTGTATAACAGCTTCTGTCTCTGATGATGTGTACAAACAGGTGTACCCATATTGAAATATATTAATGTCTTATATTTGAAAAATGCTAAAATTATTGAGAGAACAAACATGGGAAGATAGGTTAAACATTAACTCACTCTTCATTATATTAAGTAATAAAAGGATAAATATTAACAATTTCAGATTTTTGCAATTACTCTCAGGTCAGCTTTGCAAGGTTAGAATTATTGCAGATAAAGCAACATACATCTTTAAAATTGTGCCTGAAGACTTCTCATATAATGCTATCCCAGAAACATATTGTAAAGGTAAAGAGAATGACAAAAGTTGGGCCGAATTTTAAGGCCATAAATATACAGAGACAACAGGTGACGTTTTTATAGCTAGGGATTTATTAAGAGCAAAAGTAATGATGTTAAGCCTTATCTGATATGGATAGTCAAATAAAAACGAAATCAAAGGATGGCAGAGATATGCTGAAGCCATCCATGCAACTGTCAAGCTTATCGAGTTATGGTCTAAGTATCATCTCTTGTTTGACGTTTCCTGTTTGCTTAAAGTTCAATGGTTTAACAATATTAAAAATAGTTATAAAAGTCAATGGCGGCCGGGCGCGGTGGCTCACGCCTGTAATCCTAGC